TAGCTCCTGCAGAAGGCGAGGGCGTGGAAAGAGGAGCGATTTTGAACGGCTTATTCTGTGTCGGGGGCGTGGGCGGTGTGGGCGGCGTCGGGGGTGTTCCGGGAGTGACAGGGATCCCGGAAGCAGCACGCCCAATGCGGGTGGGCGTGCGGATACCAGAGGGCTTCGGGCTGTTCATTGTGTGGGCGTGAAGGCGTGTGAGTGTGTTTGTGAAGGCGGCTGAAAGTCGTGTTGGGACTTCGTCAGCCTTGGCGATGCCCGAGCCGGAATTGTGACAAGCAAAATACTGGAAGTTTTTTTAATCAATTATATTCATATATATATATATAATTTACTATATATATACTTAATATATTACGCTGCTATCACTTCACTGCCACGTGATATATGTAGTTATTTCAGATAATATTCTTTTTCTTAGTCTTCCCTTCTTTTTTATTTTTACATATATCAATTTTTCATTTATATCGTGTATTTGCCCTTCACTTTAATCTTCTCAGAGTTTTGCTTTAGTCACGTTTTCTTCTGGTCGTCCTGCGGGAAGAAAAACAAAAATGCATTAGTATATGCTGTACATTTTATGAAATAAATAAACGAAGTATTTGTGCCTATTGCTCAGTTTCAATTGTTCATAAAATGTTCCGAGAATCTGGTATATAATAATCATAATTATATATGTTATAAGACTAATGCAATGAATGACTGTCAAAAATGCAAGCTAGTTAAGGCAGGAGATGAACTTTTTAACAGCTAGTTAAACAAACTAAACCAGAATGCAGGAGATGTACACCAAAGAGGAGCCAAAGTGACACTGACAAATGGCACAATGTACTCGATTTATAGTCTGTGCTTTTAGATAACCTCTCATATATGCATAACTATAGTTGTTAAGCTGATATTATGCAATTCACGCATGACATTTTAAAAAAATCAATCATGATCATTTTCTCCTTGTTTCTCCATTTATTCTTTCTTGGGGGGAGGGGGTTACAGTATGCAACATTTTTTTTTTTTAAGTCAAACAGATGATAAACAACTTAAATCAAAAGAAAGCCAACGACACGTCACACGCACTCTATCATCCGCAGATCGCGACGCTAATTAAACCTGATGGTAAAAACAAACAAACATACTGTGTCGACATCTCTTGAGCAAATAAATAAAAGCGGAGTAATTAGTTAGTATGTCCGTCTCCCCTTAATGAGGTTTCGCTCGTGTGTAATGTTAAAATATGATGAATGCGTTGGCGGGAAAAATGGTTGCTCGTGACGCCGCCAGAGGGCCACGCACGCGTCACGGTCTGGGACAAAATGTAAATCCCATTTGGTGTAAATATATATTCCTGGGGTCGACAGAGTGGAGAAAGCAAACAGAGGTTGTTGCATTTGCGCGTTTAAACACCCCTAAATGCTGTTTGGCCAAGATGGCGTTACAGCGCACACGATCTTCTCTTGTTCTGCTGCGCGGGAAATCCATCTCCGTCAAGATTTTTTTTCGCGGCTTGGAAAATGTCTGAAGACTTTTCCCCTGTACCTTTTCTCTTTATCTAGAAGAGAAAAACTAAATATTTTTGCACGATTGCAGTCGGGAAAGATCTTGGGAGGTAAAATCAGTGCAGCCCTGTGACTTATGGCATAATTAAAGTTGACATTAAGAAGCAGTGCGTGAGATGCATAGGATGCACCTCATATGCGGACGTCGACTCGCCTTGTGCAACATGGCATGAAATTACGCAATATGTATGCTGTGTGTGTGTGTGTGTGTGTGTGTGTGTGTGTGTGTGTGTGTGTGTGTGTGTGTGTGTGTGTGTGTGTGTGTGTATGTGTGTGTGTGTGTGTGTGTGTGTGTGTGTGTGTGTGTGTGTGTGTGTGTGTGTGTGTGTGTGTGTGTGTGTGTGTGTGTGTGTGTGTGTGTGTGTGTACGCGTAAGAACTGCTATTAAGCATATAAATGTAAATTACTACTACTACTAATAATAATAACAATAAAAAAAACAACATAACGAACAACAACAACATCTACAGCAGCAAAGTGGCCGATGCAGAGCCCGCTGCTTCCCGCACGCCTTCAATCATCAGCTGCCGTGGACTGGCGTGCCCGGCTATGGCTAATGACCGGCTGTGGCTGCCTCATAACAGCCGAACCACTCAGCCTCTGACATTTCACTGTCTTTTGCTTCGTCGTGTCGTTAAGGTTCGCGTACACCTTGTACAGGTATTTTTTAACCTACAGTAGCGAGCAAGGGAGTGCGTCTTGAGAAATTCATTGTATATATATGACTGTATGTTCGTATGTATCTGTACATTAATAAATCCCCTGTATACCAATGTGCATTTAAACATTTTCCAATTCATTTTAAAAATAAACGACTATAAATATAAGAAAATAACCGTAAATAAATGAATAAGCGAAATGCAGTTACAAATACACAAGCCATGAATCCATAATTACAAAATCCATACCATTCCACTCATCAACTGTGTACTAATTCATATCAAATCTTCATTGCTGACTTGTTTTTACAATCTCACATTTCGCGTACGAGTAAAGCAACCAAGATCTACGCCATTCCTCTTTACGCGCCATCCAGAACCATGCACTGCAATCCTCCCTTATTTGCAAAGGCCTTACGCGCTGTTTGCACAGCATAAACAAAACATCTTTGGCGCAACTGATCCACATTCAAGCATATTACGTAACGCGTCTGTGTAGTCGCTGCCTGTTACGAGCGCCCCTGACTCACTTAGGACTTGCCCTGGACTTCTTACGCCCAATCAGAGCGAAACCCGAGACAGGACTCCCGTGGGCGTATTCATGCTAGACTCCGCCCACCTGCTCTTCTGCTGGTAGCGTGAGGCGAGGGAGGGGTGGGGGTGGGGGGGGGCAGAGGGTGGTGGCTTTCTTTGAATAAGCGCCCATTGTGCGTGAATGGATGTGCTCCTTTTTTGCCTTTTTATCTCTCTTTTTAACTCTATCTCTGTCTCTGCTTTTATCTTTTTTCTATTATCTCTTTTAGTCAGTTGTCTGAACCTCTGTATCACTGGACCTCTCACTGTTCCTGGCTTTGTCTAGGTTTGTCTTTCTGTGTGTGTGTGTGTGTGTGTGTGTGTGTGTGTGTGTGTGTGTGTGTGTGTGTGTGTGTGTGTGTGTGTGTGTATGTGTGTGTGAGTAGTGTGTTTGTGTGTGAGTAGTGTGTTTGTGTGTGAGTAGTGTGTGTGTGTGAAGTAGTGTTGTGTGAGTAGTGTGTGTGTGTGAGTAGTGTGTGTGTGTGTGTAGTGTGTGTGTGTGAGTAGTGTGTGTGTGTGAGTAGTGTGTGTGTGTGTGGTGTGTGTGTGTGAGTAGTGGTGTGTGTGGTGTGTGTGAGTAGTGTGTGTGTTGAGTAGTGTAGTGAGTGTGTGTGTGTGTGTGTGTGTGTGTGAGTAGTGTTTGTGTGAGTAGTGTTTGTGTGTGAGTGTGTGTGAGTGTGTGTGTGTGAGTAGTGTGTTTTGTGTGTGTAGTGTGTGTGTGAGTGTGTGTGTGTGAGTAGTGTGTTTGTGTGTGAGTGTGTGTGTTTGAGTAGTGTGTGTTGTGAGTGTGAGTGTGTGAGTGAGTAGTGTGTTTGTGTGTGAGTAGTGTGTGTGTGTGTAGTGTGTGTGTTGAGTAGTTGTTTTGTGAGTGTGTGTGTGTGTGAGTAGTGTGTGTTGTGGTAGTGTGTTTGTGTGTGAGTAGTGTGTTTGTGTGTGAGTAGTGTGTTTGTGTGTGAGTGTGTGTGTGTGTGTGTGTGTGTGTGTGAGTGTGTGTGGTGTGTGTGTGTGTGTGAGTAGTGTGTGTGTGTGAGTAGTGTGTGTGTGTGTGTGTGTGTGTGTGTGTGTGTGTGTGTGTGTGTGTGTGTGTGTGTGTGTGTGTGTGTGTGTGTGAGTAGTGTGTTGTGTGTGAGTAGTGTTTGTGTGTGAGTAGTGTGTTTGTGTGTGTGTGTTTGTGTGTGAGTAGTGTTTGTGTGTGAGTAGTGTGTGTGTGAGTAGTGTGTGTGTGAGTGTGTGTGTGTGTGTGTGTGTGTGTGTGTGTGTGTGTGTGTGTGTGTGTGTGTGTGTGTGTGTGTTGTGTGTGTGTGTGTGTGTGTGTGTGAGTAGTGTGTGTGTGTGAGTAGTGTGTGTGTGTGAGTAGTGTGTGTGTGTGAGTAGTGTGTGTGTGTGAGTAGTGTGTGTGTGTGTGTGTGTGTGTGTGTGTGTGTGTGTGTGTGTGTGTGTGTGTGTGTGTGTGTGTGTGTGTGTGTGTGTGTGTGTTGTGTGTGGTGTGTGTGTGTGTGTGTGTGTGTGTGTGTGTGTGTGTGTGTGTGTGTGTACATGTCAGTATGTATACGTATGTGATATCAAAGATTCTTTAACTCAATAAAATAGAAAAAAGAAGAGGAGAGAAAAAAAAAAAAAAAAAAATACGCGTGCTCCGATTTTTTTTTCTTAATAAGCAAAAACACCCAGAGTATTCATAAATAAGATAGAGCGAAGGGGTACAATTTCGGGTGTCTGAATAAGGGTACCAAAGGATCATGGTATCGTGTTGGTTTCAATAAGAATGGTTTTCCGCCAATACCATCTGTCGCATAAGGAATTTGGAAGGGGGGGGTCTATCCGGAGGTGGAGGGGAGGGAGGAGGCAAGGAATGGGGGAGGGGGGCATCAGGAAGGACGGTATGCAGGTACAAGGGATTGTGAAGGATGGAAGGAGGGTAGGAGGGGAGGGAGTGGGTGAAGGAGGGAGGGGAGGGGAAGGGAGGGGAAGGATAGGGGGAGGGAGGGTAGGGAGAGGAGGAATGAGAGGAGGAGAGAGAGAGAGAGAGAGAGAGAGAGAGAGAGAGAGAGAGAGAGAGAGAGAGAGAGAGAGAGAGAGAGAGAGAGAGAGAGAGAGCAAGAGAACAGAAAGAGACAAAAAAACAATGAAATCTATAGAAAAGATTGAAAGGTCTCTCTCTAAAAAAGACTCTCTCTCTCTCTCTCTCTCTCTCTCTCTCTCTCTCTCTCTCTCTCTCTCTCTCTCTCTCAAAAAGAAAAAAAAAAATGCCCAGACAGTCGAACAAGACGGACGACGGCGTTCCCGTCGCAACCCCCCCCCCCCCCGACGACCCGGAGGCTGGCCTGTTCAACGGGGAGCCCCTCCTCCGCCGCACGCATTTTCGCCCCGAAATAACGTTCCAACTTTCGCCGTAGATCCCGCGACGCAGCGAGGTCCCGCCGAAAACGTGATATTGTCTCCGCCACTTAAATGAGCCGGCGAGCCTATCCATTACACCAAGTGGACGCGTTACACACACTTTACATACACCTACACAGGGACGGTCGGAGGCGCCCGAGCCTATTTGGAAGCAGGCAGGTAAGTAGGTAATTTTGGTGCCTCTGTGTCACGTACATTTTAGTTGTTTGGGCTGTAGATAAAGACAGAGATAAAATAGATATAGATAAAGATAGATATTTAAATAATTCCAAGACAGTAAAAAAAAAACGATAATACAATTGTCTGTTAAGTGGAAGGATTGAACAGAATTGAATTTCGAGATTTAATA